ACATGGATTTTACTTCCTGCCAGCCCTTGTTCCTGCTTGTAACAAAAGTTGTGTTTAAACAATATTTGCTACTTAGCAATGTTGTAACATCCCTGCCAATGTAGACAGAAATATTTTTTCTGCAGGCCAAACTGTGCTTTTCATTACTTAATGCCCAGCTGGATTTTATAACAGGCTTCTCAGAGCACACATTTTATGTCAGTACAATCAAAGGAAAAACCACATTAAAGCACTACCAATCAGCCATCAGAATTGTAGCTTACAAGACTCCAACTGTACTGAAGGTCAAACCTCAGAGAAGTTTGATGCATATCCTAGTTTCCCACCAGTTTCACTGGGGGAAAAGACCTCTCTCATTACAATGACAGCAAAAATAGGTCCACAATTACCAATCTAAATAATTAGGTGTTTGGAAAGGTAAGCGAAAGATATTAGATGTGAAAACCAAAATCCTGCAGTGAATTTCCCATGGTAAACTGCACTCCCCCTGCCCCCACACACACCGTTCCACCATCCATTCACTAACAGAATGCAGAAAAAGAGATGTTGTAAGGCATTTATTTCATTATGTGTTGGAAAGGGACAGTTGTGTCTCCAAAACAGTTACAGAAATAACAATACAATACGTACTGTATATTACTCTACTGTTAAAATCAAATATTGTCCATCACAGGTGCTTGGCTAATGAGGAAAAGGAATAAGTTGCCATTGAAATAAATGGTACCAGAGAGAAACAATGCACCATCTTCATTGTCATCGTTACATGGTCAGTCATGCAGTAGAAAAAACCAAAGAGTAAATACTTTTGGTTTTTACAGTAAGCCACGAATTTTTCTCTTTTATATATTTATATACAAATTAAGTACAAAACTGGTTTTATTTTTTGTAAGTCATTTGTGAACAGGACTGAAGCAAATCACAAAAACATACTTGTTAACACTATAAAGCTGGTTCATGTGTGGACATTACTGTATTTGTGAAAGTCAGCACAAAGAAAAGGTCCCCAAAATGGGTGGCTTTGGACTGGAGACACTAAATTTTAAACATGCCTAAGAGGAAAACAAAGGGATATACAACTCCATTCACATATGAAAGGATTCTTTAAAAAACGGTTGGATTTTAAGGGATTATTTGTAAGGAGAATGCATTTCAGTGGGATGTGCGATTCTCACAGGGATACACAGGAGTCATGTAAAATACCAAAGAAATGATCAAAAGAAATAAATAATTAAAAAAATACATCTAATACTTTTTTTTGTTTGTTTTTAACAGCACTGACTTTTTTACAAGAGATAAACAATTCTCTCATTCTTCTGGGCTGCTAATATCTCAAACATAGGAGTCACTACTTTATACTTACATGTATGCACCCTTTTATAATTTTATATATGCTTAGATATATGCATTTTCACATACAAGACTGTTAAATTAATTTATAGCTGAAAACTGCTGTAGAAGGAATGAAAGATAAAGAAAATACAATGTGGATTTCCTTAGAAGGATTAACAGGAAGACCTGTTTTCCATGGGGCTTTATTCATTAGCAATTATAACGGATTCTGGAGCTCTTACTAACTTCCAGGGCACCAATGAAACAGCCCATCAGGAGCCCTAAGTCAGCAAAAGGGATTTGGATTCTGACTATTCACCATCCTTCCCTGTGCAAATAATGACAAGTTGGCTCAAGCCACGGTTCCAAATCTGATGGTGTCACACGGACTATGTCAGTCTCTCTCTCTCTCTCTCTCTCTCTCTCTCTCACACACACACAATCTTCTTATAGTGAAGTTGTCATCATCTTACCACTCCAGAAAAGCTTCACAGCAAACAGAGGTTCAGTATAAATCAAACAGTGTCAAAACCATTCCTATGTGCTGGAATATTTCATAACTTTCACTCTACTACATATTTCACTGCACTATTTAGAAACAGATTCACTTAAATATTATTTTAAAACTTAGTAAACCACATGAAAGCCTGTTGAATCTAGTGAAGATATAAACAGACACATGCAGTCACGTGTTCAGCTTTCGATGGCCTGGATCCATAGTGGGGGCAGGGAAATGAAGGTGCAAAAGGATCTATTCTGGTGAGTACATCCGTATGGTACTGGTTTTAAAGTAGCAGATGCAAATAAAATCAACACGCTGATCTAGAAGAGAAAGTGAGTGAGTGTGTGTGTGTAAAAGATTATTTTAAAGGAAACATTTTAATCTACACTGAATGTTTTCTTCAACTTTATTTTTTAAAAGCATTGCAATACTGTGAACGATTTACCTATGAAGGTTATAAAAGCAATACAGCAGTTATTAAAAAGGAAAGGGGGAAAAAGGGAAAGAAAATTGGCAAAGGTAATGCAAGTAAATTACTGCAATTGGACATAAGGTTAACTGACAAATGATGTACTAGAGTTTATTAATAAAAACAATTTTTTGCACAGCTGTGCAGGCTTAGGGTGGTTAGCTAGTTTGTAAAAAAACAACCAAACAAACCACCACACAGATCCACTTGACACTGCTACCACTCTTACAAATTGTGAAGCACATGTTTGCCTAAAGACTGGGAAGCCTGGAAAGTATCAAAGATTGTTTTTCTCAGATACATCTAAGCTTTTGACAAGTTTTACGTTGTTGCCTTTTGGCTGTATCCTACTTCTGTGCAAAACATCAATTAAACATTCGCTACTTGGATACAGTCCTACATTATCTGAAGAATTCTGGGCTTTATCTTGGGAGATCCTTAGCACCTGCAACTCACACTGAAATCTTAGGGTTAGGCTCTTAAAGTAGGTTTTAACCTACTTAAAAACCAAACAAAAACCAAACCCTTATCAGTGGTTTTCTGTTTGTGCAACCTGTTGCAAATTATTACACCAAAATCTAACAGATCTCCTATACAAGTGCACATGCATTTAGAATTGGGATCTTTGAACCACTTTATCATTCCAATTTTTAAAAAGCCTAGATTTACAAATCAACAGTCTATAAGCTACAAGATGCATCCTATAAGTCAGCCAGCCAGCATCTAAAGCACATAGGATTTGTATACCAAGGTGTGTGGATAAAATAGAAGGAAAATAGTATAGTCCAAATGTATGTTTCTATTTCATGAACCATAACCATTGATCATCACCATAGTTAGGCTGCATTTTAAAACTGCACTTTGAATAAAGCAGTATGTAACTTATGAATAATTTACCATTAAAAACCAAAGCATAATGTGGCAAAAGCAAGTCAGAAGGGTGGACAGATGGATAAATGGTAACAGCTTTCTAATACAGGCTATTCCAATACCATGCAAGTGTTCTCTACAGAAGGACAAATTTTGATATTTCAATTGCAAAACTATCATTGGTTTCCACTGAACCAAGACTTTGAACTTCACAAGCAATTCTGGTCCATTTAAACGAGTAAACATGGAGAAGTGTCAATGAAGTTAATAGAATTACTGAAGATTTACAACAGTTAACAGGACAGAATTTGGCCTATTTTGGGTAATAATTAGAATGATTAATTACCATGGAAATTATATCAATCCATATAATTATGAGTATGTTAAAGTCTGAAACCACAGCAGAATCTCACGAATTCACATACACAAACAGTGGTGTCTCTAATTGTCAGGAAAATTTTAATAGCAAGGGCACTATAGTAAGAACTAATATTACTAAGACTTCATTACTTTTACAAAATATACTACAGAACAAGATTAGTTTACTATGAAGCATTAGCATAACTAAAGCTTGTCTACACTTGCCAAATAAGGCACTGCTTCAGCAAAGCACTTAAACGCTTGTTTAAAGTTATGCATGTGTTTAAGTGTTTTCTGAATAGGGATGATCTTAAATGCATGCTTAAAGCTGAGCACATGCTTGAATGCCTTTACGGTGAAGTAATCTTGGAGTTTTTTGCTACATTTGCTCATGTACTCGGTACATGAATACAAATTTCAATAGTTCATTATTGGTCTCCCAGCTGTACATGTGAACTAGCAAAATTCTACTGTGTGAGTCTACCTGCAAAAACATCATGATTGTAGCTACATGATATTTAGTTGGAAATCTCATTGTAATGCTATATCATTAAAGAATATTTGCATGATATTTCTATCCAGTACATTAAAGCGATACCAATACACTAGATAAATAAAAATAAATTATAGAAATTTGTAAAGACATTGTCAGGGAGCATGCTAGTGAACTAAACTTATTTGCTAGTTATTGCCAAAGACTGGATTATGTTTAAATAGGTAAAGTATTTTGTAAGACTTCAGAGAATTACAAAATAAACTTTTAACAATCATTTGTAAACAAGTGTAAAATGCACAATTGTATTTCAGTAGTTTATTTTGGAGAAGTAAAGCAGTGCAAAATAGGCCAACCAAAATTTAGAAGGCAGCCAGGAAAATAAACTCTTATTCAATGTTATAACTAGGAAACAGCATACAGACACTTCAACTGGATCCAACACTCTGATTCATGTAAACACAGTTAGTTTGAAAGGTCTTGTGTTACTAAACTGTATTAAGTATTGATTTTTTTCCTCCCACCACCACCCCATTAACGTTTTTCCAATTTAATAAAAGGAGCAAAGGCAAATCTATAAGCATTCCACCCACCTATTACACAAGAGTACCATACAAAAATACATACTGGTGAGTTCCTTCCCAAGGACACCTCTGTTGCAATTGAAACAATAACAACAAAAACTTTGAGCTTGGAAAGGTTTGATCAGTCATGAACATTTTTCTAAGCCCATAATGGTTCCCCTTCTCACTCCCACTTCTGGGACCTAAAACATACAGTACACTGGAATTTTGTAACTATTAAGCAGCCTCAATGTGTGGGTCAGGTGCCCAAATGAGAACTGATTTGTACACACATCCGGTAACTTTGCCGTATTTGTGCTTCAGATAAATCTAACTCGGCAATCCCAAAGATGAATTACATTCCTTATGGAAAAGTCATAGAATTTAACAGAAACTCATAACTTTTCTACAGGGTTTTTTGTTTTTGTGGGGGGGAGGGTAGGTTTAAGAGCAATTATTACAGGACTCCATAGGACTTCTCCGTAAAGGAGGGCCACTGTCATATGGCAGTGAGTAATTTTCAAATGCTTAGGCTCATTCCTCCCTGTCTTCCTGCTTTGGCTCCCTCCACTCTCCTAAGTTTGTATCATACCCTAGCTGTTCCTTCCTGCCACAGTGGCTATCAGATACTAGACTAGTTGGCACTCAGGTGTTGTGGTGATGAGTGCTCTATAAATGCTTTAGACAGACAAAATGGAATTACCAAATCTCAGAGCTTAACTAAGGTGAACTTTTCTTAATAGCATCTTGATGAACATATCCTAGGCATTTCCTAAAGATGTAAAGGTCACAAACCCCATCAAAATAATGTGTATGCTTGAAACCTGTTCTTACAGCAATGACTGATTCATTTCCTTCCAATTTAGTGTTCACGATTGACAAAAGCTGCAGGAAACGTGAAAGGACAGAAGATGCTGCCATGTTGCAGGCAGAGAACATATATTTTAGTTTTGTTATGGTATCTCAGCTGTAAAATATGATCAGACTATGCTAGCGTTCACAAACAACTATACCTACTACTCTTGTAATTTACCTAAATAGCCTCCTCTTGCAGTCCCAGAGAGTAACCGTCTCTAAATCCGAAGAGCCGTCACAGATCACAAGCTTACACAAAACCCGGCTCTATCCAACGTTGCTCATGTTCAACCTTGGTTGAGAATGATTTATGCATAGCCAAGCATTAATGGAGAATAGTGGCTACAAGTCTGAATTACACATGTATTCACAGGATTTACGAGGCTCGTGTACTACTCTGTGAATGTAAAAGTGGTCAATTTGCTGGCCATCTAACAAAAAGCATTCCTAGGCTTTGCCCGAGTGAAATGGAAGGACAATTATTTTTTTAGCTACAGAATACACTTCAGGGCCTTATGACAGGCCAAAAGTACAGAGGGCAGTGTTTTATCTACCAAGTCACCCAACTCCTGCCAGTAGCAAGCACCCCTTGCTTTTCAAACTGACCCTTTGCTGGATCAGAAAAGATTCTTTACTGCAATGGCAGCGTTCTTGTGGCAAAATATATTTTGAAGCTGCTTTTATCTCAAACAGTTTGGTCCAAGGAAGAGAATCAGAGTTGGAACTGCAGTCTCCACCTCAGTTTTAAGCAGGAGGGCAGCTGCCACCTGTTCTGATCCATCAAATAAGGTGCAGCCCTAGTGCCTCAGCAAATTGCCAGTGAAGCTCTGGGCAAACCTGCTCTGCTGACACTAAAGCTCACTTGGGTTTCCCTTTCAGGGGTCCAGCTGGAAAAGCACTTGGGAAGTACTCTGGAAAGGGGGAAAATCTCTAGCACAGACACATGCCTTGTTAACTATAATTCTTTCCGGGTCCATGAGGTCTGATTTTAAATGCTGGTCACTGGTGATTACAAATAAAATCTAAAACAAAATGCAAAAGCAACCCTCCCACATTAAGGTCTAGTGTTAAAAACACAAGCGTGTGCAAGCTCACTATAGATTTGCAATTGGAATCTGATGAAATGCATCTGGATCATTTCTCTTCCCCATTCCTTTTCAGATCATCTCATCAACAAATCAGGTTAAATCAGTGGAAATTTGTTACACCCTGCTCTGATTCTAGGACCATGATTTGACTCCCCAAAGCTTTTCCTCAGTCCATGGCATTGTCTGGCTATTGAGAGGATGCTTTTGTTGCCAACGTGGCAACACAGTGTTGCTGAAAGCTGGGGGACACTGCCGAGTTGCATCCTAGTCTCTGGTGCTGCAGCTTTACTGAGTTGTTGGTCTCACTTTCCACAATCCAGGAGTCTTTTCCCATCACGCTTCGGCAGCCTGTACTAGCACAGCATGTCCGCTCCCCCACTATGCCACCGGTCTGCTCAGCCACGAGTTTGCTGAAGTTTAGCTGGGTCACCTCTGGTGTCTGGCCCTGCAGGACAGCAGCTATATGGTTCAGGAGGTCTGTGAAGAACTCAGCAACACCCTCATAACCTGAGAAAGGGAAAAAAGCAATGCCGTCATTTCCATCTTTCCATTTCACTGGCTTTATATACAAGTCTCCCTTCTTTCTCCCCTTTTCCTGCACACACAAGGCCCCACGGTAAAAAGTGAACTTTATTTTTCTGGGCACAATTTGGTGCACACAAATGATCATATAAAATCGACACCTGACCACACCCTCAGTTAAGTATCCTCATAATTAACTGCAAATGGAAAACTCCACCTCTTAAAAAAATGGCTCCCCCCCAACTACTTTATTTCAAGTTATGATGTTTCTAAGGAAAGTTATTCAGCAACCAGATATCAGCGCATCTGAGTGATCATAAAGCCTCATGAAAGAATGCAAGGTACTTGTAAAGTTGTAGCAAAGAGAGTGACGTTCCCCTTATTTTGCTGTAGAAATTATGTTAATTTTTGTTTAAATATTTTAATGAGGTGAATTGTTCTCTCTTAGTTGAATGTCTGATTTCTGCTACCCCCAAACTGTTGTTTTTATATCTTATCTGTCCTTGATTCCACTTTTACCCAAAATTACTGATTATTTGGGACAATGTTGTAGTAAGATGAGGGCCGAAAACATAAGCCCATGCATCACAGGCCTGGTTTGAGGCTTGAGGCCTAGTTAACAATGGAGAAAACATGGCTAACATAAAGCAAAGCTAAGCTGTGAGCAAGAGGCCTCAGCTCACAGAACATGGCACAAATGGGGCTGAGAGTGCAAAACACTAATTGTTGCTAGGTACTGACTGAAGAACAATAATTGGTACTGGTCATAAGTGAAAAGCACATGAAATCACTAGCTCATTTAAAAAAGACCATGGTACCCGCTCCTCACAGATACAGACTCAGGTTCAAGAAAGGGTCTAAAATGACAATGATGGATAGAGATGATCTAATCAAACCACAAGGTACAGGGTGATGGGTGGTATCTAAGTAATGTCAGAGGGTAACCTGACATGTCAGCAGTGAGGTGTGACTTGTTGTACCTGTATATAAAGTGGTGTCTTGGGGGAAGACAGCCTTTGAATGACCTAGGGGACAGTGGGACCTCCCACTGATTGAGTCATTCCACTGTGGCAAGTACATATGCGTAGTGGTTCAGTAGAGTCTACTAACAACTATGACTGTACTTCGCTCCACAATAAACCTGGCTTGGCACCTTTGATCCTTATCTGGTTTGTGGTCTTTGAGGGCTCTCTTGGGGTCTTCTGTGGAGACTAAGTGCACAAGTGTACACGGCACACATCACTGAGCACACACACAAACAGTCTTCTGGTTATTATCAATGGAGTCAGAGACCTGTGAGGACACCTGACCGGCCCTCTCTGAAGAATTACAAATGTTAGCTATCTTGTATCACCTTATTTCCAGATCTTCCTATGAAGCCTCCTTCTAAAGTACAACTAGGGCTAATCCAAGGTACCCTCTAATTTATATAACACAGTTTAACAGAAGCACCATTATGGCTACTGTGTAAATAACTAATATTGTAAAAATTTCATATGAAATCCATTCACAGGGCACTGTGAAATCAGAGCAAAGAGCATGAAATCACTAAATATATATGTTAAAACATCTGTAATTGTTTGGGTAAAAGTTAGAGAAGGACAAGGATGGAAAAAACTTTCAAACATTTACATTTGTAATTGCCTTTCCCCTTAAAAAAAAAAAACTTATCCGAATAAAAATAATACTACCAACTGAAAAACGTGCTAAAATCAGAATCCAAACAGAAATATTTTGGTGACTTTAAATTAAAATGTATTTGTAAGCTGAATATGCGAACCAATTAACTGTTACTGTAATAGGGTCTATTTTGTTTTAGTGACAACTGCAGCTACAAATTGGTCCTTTGATAAGACAACTAATGCACTGTGCATGACCCAAGATGGTAGCTTTTATAATTCAGTTTTCTTAGTAACTTGGAGACTATTAAAAAAAATTCAACCCACTTCACAATGCTGAAGTGCCAGATCACCAATATTAACCATCACTATCTATTATCAGCCAGGGTCTAGCTAAGACTATTAGAATCACAGGAGTGATGTATGAGGGAGTCCATATAAGATTTCTTGCTTATGTAACACCCCCCCCACTTCCCCCCCAACACACACACATGCATGCAATTAGCCTTTAAATCTACTCAGTGTGCTTCAAATGCCCTGGGAATAAGCCATCTCCATAGTAACTGCTTTAACATGCAGAGAACAGACCCACAGTGCCCTGGGGTGTTTTGGACACACTCAGTTAGAACAAAATCAGACCTATTAGGACTGCACAAGGGAAACTCACAAGGAAGTTGTTCTTAATTTGTTATGGCCATAGGACAGAGACAGCTATTAACTCCTGGTACCAGCATAAGACATTATAAACACCTGGACATCATCTGAACAGCAATGTGCGGAATCTACATAGAGATTAAAATGAGCAAGTTAACCACACGGGGAAGTAAAGAAGGGTCTGTTGGAGCAGAGAGGAAAACTCCATTATGGTTAAACAGTATGACTATAATTCTTCTGACTCAGTACAAAGAAACCCTGCACACAGCCCCTACCTAGTTGCTTGGTGCTGTTCACGCACACAGCTATTTTGACTAGATAACTGGGGGGAAAAGGACTGCACATTTACATTCAGAAGATCAAGCAGAAGGATGACTTAATTAAGTTGGAAGACATTTTAAGCAGCTGGGGTTTACGCTGCATCAAGGAATAGTGACAGCACATACTTTTCATAAGCCTCTAAGTGGGGGCCATTCCACTGAAATCCATTCCAAGCAAAACAGTTGCACTTGCTTATACAAAGTCTGAATGTGGCCCTATGTAGGAACAAAGTGGATAATACAGGTGTTCAGTATGACATCACTGAACATAGGAAGGAAGCCCTCACAAAACTAGCGGCACGGCTAAACCAACAACCAAGTCTCCTGTCCTGAACTTTGGGGGTGTTCCGATTCAGCTCTAGATTTGGAGACTCAGGTTCATCTCTGCTCAGCTCTGGGAAATTATTAATATTCCCAAGCTAATACTGCAAATGCTAAGGACTGCAAATGCTAAGGACCTGCTTTTTAAATGGGTACCTTCACTCACACATATCCAATGCAGAGTACAGGCAGTCCCCGGGTTACGTACAAGATGGGGACTGTAGGTTTGTTCTTAAGTTGAATCTGTATGTAAGTCGGAACTGGCGTCCAGATTCAGCCGCTGCTGAAACTGACCACCAGTTCTGACTTACATACAGAATCAACTTAAGAACCCCAGGCGCCCCCAACTCAGCTGCTGCTGAAACTGATCAGCAGCTGATTCCAGGAAGCCCGGGGCAGAGCAACTCTGCCTGGGGCTTCCTGTAGTCAGCGCTGGTCAGTTTCAGCAGAAGCTGACTTGGGGACACCTGGGGCAGAGCAGCTGGGGTGCTGCTGGGTTGCTCCAGTAGTGCCGCTCCTCGGTGCTACTGGACCAACCCAGCAGCACCCCATCTGCTTCGCCCCAGGGTCCAAAACAAAAGCCTGGTCTGCT